ATATAAATTCTACATGTATACTAAACCATGTAAATTATATATTGATAAAAAATTAAAATTTACACATGGATACAAAATGAACCGAGACCGAGACTATAATATTATGATAAGTCAATATATATCTTCCAAGCTCTTTTAAATGATCTTCTTTTTATGCTCAGATATTTCTCTGCGCATTTATACAATTATATATCTAGTGTAAGGTGGACTATGTTTACCAGTAGTTATTTTTACTTCAGGTCAAGATCTAGTAAATAGTGGATATCTAGCTATATTATGTGATTTGATACTGTAAACCAACTTCTATTCGCAACAAATTTATTTTGCGATTTTCCAGGGGTAAACTAGTTAGCGATGATTAATTTTCGCGATCAGGCCTTTTTTGATCTGTTGTAAATAGACACAGAGATTTTGAGTACCGGTTCACGGCGAGAAATATTCGCGATGACGAGGCTGTCGCGAACTTCGCGAAAATTTCTCGCACGCGAATAAAAGTTGGTTTACAGTATTGGCTTTATCCAACGAGTTGAAATTGTGTATTAGCGAGCTTGCCAAGCGAATAAACACCAGTTCAACTGGTTGGAAAAGCCAATATCAAATCACACAATTATAGATGTTCTATTTATCTCATACTACTTTCGTTTTTAGCAAAACTTTGAGACTACACCTGTGAAACTACATAATTCAAATTGATGACGCATAACTTGATACCACGAAAGAAAGAAGATAGTGTTAAAAATTCAAAATTTTGCTATCTGCGTCTTTAAATATATTACTTGACAATATCTGGAGCTTTATATCAAACGGACTTCTGACTGAAAGTTGTAAGGACCAAAGGATCGTGAATTTTACTATGAAATCATTCTTAGTACGGAGGCAGTACAAACCGTGCTACTGCTAGGCTAAATTAGGCAAGGCTACTTGTAGATTCATTGTTGATCCATGGTAACTTACACCTTCATATTTATGCCTATGTAGTATAATATAAGAAAGCATAGCTGAAGTTGTTAAAGAAATCTTATAACAATAACTTAACTGCTAGGCCTTACTTTCTCCTAAATCGATTTCGGGAAGGGGTCATTCATCTTTAAGTAGCCAATACAGGTACCTTGATAAAATTAATAAGACACTTCTTTGACATATACGAGCCTTTTTCGTGTTTAAACGACATTGTTGCTCTTTATCATTCATTTATAAGGGCAAGAATTTTTACAAATAAAATTTCGATAAACTAAAATCTTGAAGCGAGGGGCTATGTCAAAACCGGAAGTGCTATTGATAAAGCATCTACCGTGGATAAAGGATAGGTTTATCTCACGGGTAGTTTCATCCACACGTATGAGACTTATGTGTTAGATCCATTATGACGTCATATTAATCAATTTCAACTTTCTTTTCCCGTACTTAATGGCTTGAGCAGAATAATGTAGAAAATAGGGTGTTTACATGGCATTCAATTTGAAATCACATGAAAAGTAATCCCGATACCTATATTAAATTTTATATTTTAAAGAAGAGGTCATGGACATAAGAATTACCGTTTTCTGAGAGACTGTAGGCAATCTGGATACTTTTTCTTTGTCAAATATGAAAAAAAACTCCCATATTCATGATTGGTTTTCTTAATTTTTCATTGAAAATAAGAGTTTTAGATATGGTTTTAAATATTGTTTATCTACAAACTATGACCCGAGGCACCTTATTTGGCCAAGCTGAAGTCATAAAGCATCATTAATGATTTACACACCAAAAATTCACACTAAACTTAAAAACATTCCTTATTTTTACATTTTACATGTTTGAAAGTACCAAACATATACTCATTATTTAGTAACGTTGATGTAGCGTAAGGTGTCCGGATAGGGCAATTTGCGAAAGCTCAACAGCGCGTTCAGAACAACACAACACGCTGTCAGGCTAACGCGATTTCACACAAAAGGATGACGCGCTAACACACAACACGCTGTGTGGCAACGCACTTCGAAAAAATGACGCACTTTGAAAAAATTCTTAAAAGTGCGTTAAAATTGGGACAAAATCAACGCACTTTAAACATTTTTTTCAAAGTGTGTTAAATTTGGGACACACTCAATGCACTTTGAAAAAAAATTTCAAAGTGCGTTAAGAGTGTACATCAACATTTTTACCAAGGGAAATTTAACGCACTTTGAAAAAAAATATGCATAAAACAAAAATTGTAGACTAAGATTTTAGTAATTGAGAGAATTAATTTGTAATAATTATATCTTTCGAAAAACTTTTTAATTTTAGTAGAAGGTCTCTCAGCCCAACTCTTTATTTTACATATATTGTAGCCGACGGGAGCAAATTGAACGTGGACAACTCGCCCCCCCCCCTAAAAATAACCCAAATTTTCAATGTCTGTATTATGTACATTTGTGTGTCTACTAAGCCCCCCTCCCGGTACCGATGCCTATGCTACACCCAAATATATGTATTTGCATACCTACCGTGACGTTGAAAATTTTCAATAAATAAATGCATGCAAACTGGAAAACATTAAGTACACAAAGACATTTTAGAGAGAAAGAATTTTCAAAGTATGGAAAAATGACGCTCATTTTCACATCCTGAAGTAACCTTCACACCGAAAAGTTATCCAACAGGTGCAATTATTTATCATACCTAATATTTGCAAGAATATCGACCATACACATTTTTTTTCAAAGTGCGTTAAGATGGTCAATATTAACACACTTTGAAAAGAAATTTTATTTTTTCAAAGTGAGTTGATTGGGTCCCAAATTTAATGCACTTTGAAAAAAAATTTCAAAGTGCGTTGTAACAACGCTGTCACGCTAAAACGAGTTCACATAAAACGCTGACGCGCTAACACACAACACGTTGTCACGTACGCTAACACGAGTTCGCACAACACGAGTTCGCGCTAACACACAACACGCCGAACTCGTGTTGTGCAAACTCGTGTTAGCGTGACAGCGTGTTGTGTGTTAGTGCGTCAGCTTGTTGTGCGAAATCGCGTTAGAGTGACAGCGTGTTGTGTGCGCGTCAGCGTGTTGTGCGAAATCGCGTTAGCGTGACAGCATTTTGTGTGTTAGCGCGTCAGCGTGTTGTTCGAAATTGCGTTAGCGTGACAGCTTGTTGTGCGAACGCGCTGTTGGGCTCTAGCAAATGGCCCTCTCCGGACACCATAGTAGCCTCATTGTGAGGTCACGTCACCGTGATTTTCTCCGTGTATATTTCACACAAAAATGGTTTTCCAATCAATTTCACGCTTGGTTTAGTAGAAAGACACAACTAATGTAAATATATGATAATAACCATAACTTGAAATCCATTACCTACATATATAGCGATCAGAAACATACGTGTACTTTGTTAAAAAGCATGGAAAATATTTTTTGCAATGTTTTTTTACGATAGAGAACATGATCATTTAGCGGAGTGAAGGTATAATTTTCACTAGACGTTTTACAAAAGTTTCAAAAAGAGATAATATTTTGGAAAATATTTTTTAATTTAAAAAATGGTTAGCGATTTTTTTTTTAATAAAATGAAGTATTATTATTTGTCCTTATAACTTTACTTGGCAATAAATTTAATTCTTATTCCAATGTTTTAGTTTCAAACAGTGAACTTTATTTTAACCAGTGCAGTAGTGACGACAGTAGAACCGATGCTTAACGGTATGAATGACCTTTGTCTTGATTTTGAACAAACCATGAGAAAACATACGGCTGTGTTTCTATGATTATTATCATTTTTTTTGTTCTAAATTTCTGCAATGTGAATATTAAAGGGTTAGGAAGAAAGGGAATACCTTTACCAATTTCTGATCACATACATCTACAAAACACGACTGTTGACTTAATAGAGGTAAGTTTTATATCATTATTTTACATTATACATGTATATGCATGTTAACATTCTAGAACAGCTTTGCTCTCGTTCATGAAAACAAGAAGACAAAACGAAACAATAACAAGAGGAGCTTGTGGAAAATAATCTTTGATCAGACATCGCTATATGTATGTAATAAAAATTCTCGAATGGGGCATATTTACGATCATTTTTATTGCAACCATTGTTTTGTGATTCAATTTGATTGATTGTTATTTTAACAACATTTATACATATATTGTTATAAAAAAAATTGTCACAATACATGATTTCATTATTCTATTTATATTAATGTGTATATTTGCATAATTCATGTTTAGAAATTATTAGATATGTCTAAGAGATTTCTTTCTGTAAAATCTAGAGCTGCAACATTATTTCTCGTACATGTACTACATGTAACGAACAAAGAAAGCATTAATTTTATTGAACTGTATCATTTTTTCTCCATCTTTATGTTTCAGAACGCCATTGTCATAGGAAGTGATGGCAGATACAATAAAACAGTGGATTAAATCATTCCATGGATAGATTGAAAAAAAAATATTATGAAAATCCAGTTAAAGACTTGTGCTTCTTGCATGTATTTCTCGTAAAATTTAACAAGATTGTGCAGGAGAACTTTGGAATTTCTATTCAATTCTATTCTATTCATAATTTTTCTTAGTGTTTGGAATTGGATGGGTAACATGTTTAAGCCTTTCTGTTTTTATATATATCATCAATGTAATTTACTAAGGAAATGGGTGGGCATGACGAGCTATAAGCCTTTGGTGCTACAGAAATGAAGGGGAACAATTATATCATTCTTAATTATAAAAAATTAAATCATTCTTAATCATAAAAAATTCCTTGATATTTCATATATATTATAACATTAAGGTATACTTTTACGTAAAATCTCTACAACTTCCAAAAATCTCAGGAAGATTAAAGATTTTCTTTTAAATTGCATACGCACGCGAAAAAGGGAAGGAAGAGTCATTTACTCACACTAGAAAACTATTTATCGATATGAGTAGGTCTTCGCTCTGATTTTTTTAAATGTTATTCCTCAAAGTTTGCATAAAAATATACATTTTTTGTTTTCTGAAGTTATGGAGCACAAACCTACTCTACCTAAAAAAAAATACCGGTATTGTTAGTTACACAGTCAGTTAGTGACCTAATACGGATTCATACAGGGTGTGAAATGGAAATCCGTATTGGGCGAGGTTTAACTAAACTACCTACGTAAACCGTTTCTTAGCCGCCATTTTTATTTACAATAACAACGCTTCGAACGGAATCGCTTGCCCGATTTTCATATTACTCCTCGACGTCGACGTAATACGGAAATTTTCAGGGCGTCATGTGATTAGCTCTTATCCAATCAGTAATCTACAAATTTGTCTGAAACGGGATAACATTTTATACTTGAAGTCCACTGAAATTCCATTCACATGCGTTGATTTACTTACCGGGTGCAAATTTTGCATGCATGGAAAATCTGCACCCAGGTGTTAAAGTTTCAATTTGTTAAGCGTTCATAGGGAACTTTACAAATTAGATCAAATGACAATGACTCATGAAGTTTAAAAAATAAAAGATTGCAAATTGTTTAGGTTCAAAAGAAAGATAGTATTCCCATACTGTGTAGCTTTAGGGATTTTTGTGCTGGACTAGGTCGTTTGAGGGATCAGTGGACTAGGGAAAAGTTCGTTTGAGGGATCAGTGGACTAGGGAAAAGTCAGCAGCCTGGTATGACAGAATTGTATTACAAAGGTTTGACGATTCTTATTAAATTAAAGAGACACCGTGACGCACAAAGGGGAAAATTGACAAATGTGTAATTTTTGCATGACCAGTGTAAATTTTGTTTTATTTCTAAAAGTTTTAGGTTTTAGAAAACTACAGGTTTCAGAACCTAAAAATTCTTATTTTAAGGAGAAAAATAAAAGGAAAAAATAATTTCGGTATGCCCCATAACGAAAATATTGCATAACAAAAATATTGCTTTATACTTCTTCCTCCCTATATATTGTACGCGTGCGCAAAAAGTTGAATAAGTTTCCATAGTTACCATGGTCTCAAGTACCCAAGAGTGAATGTAAGTAGATCAAAATTTTGATGCAATCTTTTTGAAACGTTGTTAAAACATATTTCTCACCTTTGCCTGCTCCAGTTGAAAGTTGTTTACAAGTTTGAGCTAAAATAAAAGTGGCGTGAACTTGACATACACGAAAACAGCGAAACTGTAGATACAACCTTTGTTTTTCCATTTTTTTTAATGTAATTCAAATGTCTTATCTTGGATATATACTCATAATTTTCATAAGTCTTTCTCAGTATGCTACAGATATCTTAAAAGAAGCACATGAGTTTGACTCATTGTGTTACTTTCAGGACTTTTGAATTGGAAGATGTGCATTCGAAATGCTTTGCAGTTATGGTCTGGACAGTTACTTAGCTCTCAAGGAAAATGTTTGCCAGCCACTGAGGGTCTCAAAGCAAGTTTCTATTACATTGTACTGCATGCTGTAAATTTCACTGTGCATTCACATGCCGAAAATACACCATCGAACATAGTACAAAATGATGACTTTAAACGAGACTGCTGATATTCTTGTTTCATCGACTTGTTCGTCAATAATTTACCTCGTTTCAGAAAATGTTCATATGTAGAGTATATCTTGGATATATACTCATAATTATGTTCCCCAAACGAAGTTGGGGAACATAATTATTGTTTTTACTCTGTTTCTTATTAAGTCTTCCGTTCACAACGGAAGACTTATAGTGTTTGTATTGTTTCTTTTTATTATTAAGTCTTCCGTTCACAACGGAAGACTTATAGTGTTTGTATTGTTTCTTTTTATTATTATTAGGGTCTTTCGTCTTCAGCGGAAGACCCTTCTATTATTCTTATGTTTCTTTTTTACCTTTATTATTATTATTCTTTTTTCTCCTTACAAAATTTGTGCAGAAGATTTCTCGGAGATGGCTCGTTCGATTTGCTTCAAATTTTCACTGTCAATGCGTTGTCATCTGAAGTTAATTCCGGCCAGTCATTTTTTAAAAATTCACTTCCGGTCGGAAGTTATCGCCCTTTCATCGAAATTTAGAGGACCTTCTTGTCTGTGATGGAACTCAAAAACGGCTCAAGCTAGAAAGCTGAAATTTTTAGTGATGATAGAGGACATATTGCCATGTTGCACCTGGGTCAGGATATTTTCCGGAAGTGCCTAGTATGGAAGCTCGGTAGGGGTCAAAAATTAGGACACGAATCATGAGTGATTTTTTGGGACATTTTGCATTGTATCTTTTAAAGTATAATTATCTTGTCATAACATACTGAGCAATATTTGTGCAGAATTACAAGATCTCTCATATAATATCAAGAAAAAAGTGCTGACTCATCACATTAGGGGCAGAAAGGGGCCAAAAGTCTTTTATCGATAAATCTTTAACAATCAATATTTTGTTATACATTACTGAAGCAAAAATGTTTATCTTAACAATATACAGCTATATATTATGATTTTTATGTCGTATGATACATAATTAGGGGCCAAAAGGGGCCAGAACACTAAATCTTTGACGCTTTATATCTCGAAAGTGAGAAATATTTTGATAAGTAATATTGAACAAAAGATGTTTAAAATAATGTTCTTAACAATATGCAACCTTTCATTTTTCGCTTAACGTCCCTATTAGGGAGTTGAAGGGTTGGCCCCTAAATATTTCTTTTGCAAATAACTCGAAAACGATAAAGAATCTCTGAATAGTTGTTGAACAAAAAGTGTTCAAAATCCTAAGAGCTTTCAGATGAAATGAAGAAAAAGGGGCTGGGCGCTCAAATAAGGGGACAAGAGGGGCCAAAAGTCTTCAATGGATAACTCTTTATGAGTAAATAATTTGTAATACATTACTGAAGCATAAATGTTTATCTAAGCGATTTAAAACAATATATCATGATTTTTATGTCGTATGGCATATAATTAGGGGCCACAAGGGGCCAGAATGCTAAATCTTTGTCGCTTTATATCTCAAAAGAGAGAAATATTTTGATAAGTAATATTGAACAAAAGATGTTTAAAATAATGTTCCAAACTACATGCAACCTTTCATTTTACGCTAAATGTCCCCATTAGGGAGTCGAAGGGTTGGCCCCTAAATATTTCTTTTGCAAATAACTCGAAAACGAAAAAGAATCTCTGAATAGTTGTTGAACAAAAATTGTTCAAAATCCTAAGCTCTTTCAGATGATTTAAAGAAGAAAGGGCTGGCCCCTCATATAAAGGGCCAAGGAGGTCAGAATTCGAATTTATGACTATTTAACGTTCACTATTTTTATTAAAACATAACAGCTGCAAAATCGTTTTTCTTTGCAATATTATCATTGTAAAAAATCTCAATCAAAATCTTATCTCATCTCATCAAGAATCGGACGGAAGACCCACTCGTTGTTCACAACGAGATCTCATCTAGTTATTATTATTATTCCTCCCAAATTTTGTGAGCGCGATTACTCAGAGATGGCTGCATAGATTTTCATAATTTTTCTCAGGTAAGTAGGTTGATATATGAAGTTTATATAAAATTCCGTTTTTTGAAAAATTCACTTCCGGTCCGAAGTTATGGCCGATTTTCGAATTTTAAAATGGACTTTTGTCCGGCAGTTTTCTCGGAAACGGTTTGAGGTAAAGATTTGAAATTTACAGGAGTATTAGATCATGATATTCTATTTGTTTTGAAGTTGTTTTCGTGTGTTTCCAGTACTTCCTGTCCGAACCGGAAGTGAATTTGTTTTTGGTCAATTTTTGATTTTTTTTTTTTAGATATTTTTTCAAGATATTCTTATGTAAAACAGACATTTTTCTACAAATGCTAAATATATAATTTGTTTTTTAATCAGATTCCGCATTTTGTATATTTTCGGTACCGAAATTTTTTCTATTTACGTAGTATGTATAAGGTGGGCAAAGAAAGATAACTCTGACCTGTGAATGAGAATAGAACTTTCGAGATATTAAAAAGGCGGAAATAGTATTGATGACGTTAGAGACATATATACGCTCTCCAGATCAACATATTTACACATTCAATATTCTCTCTTTTGCATATTACTTAATTCACTATATGCATATTAGTTTAAATTTGGCTGTGTAGTGTTAGTCTGTATATTGAAAGTTTTTGATTTACAAATTTATATCTTAAAAAAAATATCCGTTCTGTGTCAACTAAGCACTTTGAAGAAAATAATATTGTAGGCAGTATACATTACAGCGATGTATATACAAATTATTCTACAAAAATACTAAACAAATATTATTTATTCTATCGGCTTCTGCATTTTGGAGATTTAAGGTTCCGTCAATAAATTATTTTCTCTATTTACGTAGTGACAATGAGCAAAGATAGATAACTCTGACTTGTAAGTGGGAATAGAACTTTCGAGATAAAGGCGGAGGTAGTATCCATGACGTCGCAGACGTCTATATCCACACTTTTCACATAAAAAAATATTTAGACTTTGAGTTTCCATATCCACTTCTGCATGAAAGATTACGTTGGTTACTGCTTTCAGTATATGCATAGTTTAAAGTTGTCAGCGTAGTGTAAATCTGT